GTGGGTGTGGGTGTGGGTGGGTGGGTGGGTGGGTGCGCGTGGGTGCGCGTGGGTGTGCGTGGGCGTGTGGGTGTGGGCGTGTGGGTGTGGGCGTGGGTGTGGGCGTGGGTGTGGGCGTGGGTGTGGGTGTGGGTGTCTCTGCGTGTGCCCGTGTGTCCCTGTGTCCGTGGAAGACGTGCTCAAGTAAGGCAGTCCCAAGCCTGGGGTCACGGCGATGAGCGAAGCTGCGAAGAGTCGCTGCGAAGAAGCCGCGCTGAAAAGGAAGAAGACGGAGTCGTGCATCCGCCATACTTAGCATGCTTCCTTCCTTTCTTTCTTTCCTTTCGAAGGACAACCCGCCCCCAGGCTGCTCAAGTTGCTCAAGGGAGCAGACATGGATTCAGTGATATCCATGAGTCACGCTAAGTCATAGCTGTTGGCTGGAAAGCCTCCGCAGATGAAGCAAATCAGCTAAAAGCGTAGATGCAAGCACGGGAAACAGTCCTTTCTTGCCATGGAGGCGCAGCCAGAGCACCAGAGCAAGTCATTCTCATGACAGCTTGGCAAGCTTGGTAAGCTTGGTAAGCTTGGCAGGAGAGCGAGGGCTTCCCCAGGAGGATCAGCTCCGCAATGGAGAGTTCGATACAACTCCTCGATCTCGAAGAGGAACCTCGATCTCGCTCTTCCATCCTGTGCAGACTTGCAAGTCTCGAGTCTTGGCCTTGGCTCCTTAGGCCATCGAGGCCGCCAGGTTCCATCAGCGTCGCGGCCGAATCAACGGTTGCAGCCCACCGTGAGCACTTTGCACTGATCATCGTCTTCACGAGACTCCTTGCCACTTGCCGCACTCTGCCCGTGTTTGGTTCAAGCGTCCGAGAGGACATAATCTGGCACAAAAGACTGCAGTATGGAACTTTCATGACAGTCGACTTGCGTTGCTCCGAGCCCTTTTTCATGTGTTGGCGCCATGCGCATCACCGTGCGCTCCCTGACCGGCGCAAGCAGCCTAGACACCGCAAAACCAGTGAATGAAGGAAAGGTGGTGCTGTGCTGCTGTGAGCTAAGTCTAAGTGAGCTAAGTGAGCTAAGTGAGCTGAGGAAGCAGCGGACTTGGACCTGGAGCCCGACACGACGATGCAGGGCTTGCGGACGGCTGTGCAGGCGGCGCTGGGCATCCCTGCAGCCGAGCAGCGCCTGGTCTACGCCGGCACTCAGCCCGCGCCCCTTTGCATGCGTTTGCATTTGCGCCTTGTGCATGCGCCCCTTCTGCCAGGCTGGAGGATCGCGTGACGTCTGCCTGGCGGGCCCGGCGGAGTGGAGGCCAAGCACTCCCAGCTTCAAAGCACGTGAAAACACGGTACGTGTTGAATCAGCATAAAGTGTCAGCACTCGCGGCGGCTTTGGGTCTTGAGCAGCTCCCAGACGGCGCGTGGCTGACCCTGGAGCCCGAGCCTCAGACTTCTCAGACTCAGATCTGAGTCAAAAAAGAAGCACCTCAAGTGCTTTTGATATCTTTGAGGCACCATGGAATCCAGAAGGCGCCGGTGAACCTTCCCCGCTCTGCTTCGAGCGTCATGCTGCGTTCTAACTTGTTGCACGGCCCCGTGCCGTGCTGTGTTGTGCCACTGGGCTCCTTGTAATGCAGGTTAGATTTGCCAGCCGCATCCTTTTTCGTAACCTGCGACCTCTCTGACCCCGTCGCTGCAATAGACCCCCTTTGCTGGACAGGGCTCGGTGCTCAACGTCGTGCGGAAAGTTCATGCACCCCAGGAGGCTTGGGCTTTGAGGTCTCGAAAGAAGATTTCCCTTCTTACGCTTGAGACTTCTTGAAAGAATGATGCGTATGTAACGTATGTAGCGTATGCAGCTATGCAGCAGTAGCCGCTGAACTTGTTGTAGCAAAAGAGGACCCTTCACCCGCGGCAGCCGCGGCACTGGCGGAGGGCCGGCTGGACCGAACCTTCGGAGCGGCGGCCGCGGGAGCTGTCCCGGCGGCTGCACCCTCCGCTCCCCCGGCGGCTGTGCCGCTGTTGGCCGGGATGGCCGCTGGTGGCAACGGCGGCACCGGCAACGGAAGCGCTTTGGGGGCGCAGCTCGAAGCGCTGAACGACTTGGAGCTCTTGGTCCTCCTCAGGCTTAGACGGCATGGAGACCAGCGGTAGGGGCAGGTAGGAAGAGCATGCAACTGAGTGTTGTTGTACTGTCTTGCTCTGGTTGAAGTCGAGATGTGTCGAAGTGGTTGGCCCAAAGCGGAGAGGAATGGAAGGCGAAGAGTAGAGGGCTTTAGGAAGCCGTGACCTTCCTGTGGATGGGCCCCATGCGCCAAGGCTGGGAGTCAAACTCAAAAAAAAAAATAAAAAGATGAGTTTCTTTGAAGTTCTTCTCTTCGCTCAAGGCCGCGGGGAGCCGTCTCCAGCCACGGACAGGCTGCGTTGACCTTTTTGCACATCGTTGCACATCGTTGCACATCGTTGCCACCATTTGCCACCATTTGCCACCACCACCACGGCGGTTTTTCTTAAAAAGGTCAGCCTTGCACCACCCACCGAGCACCGGAAGAGCTGACGTTGCAGTCAGCCTGACCAGGACGGATGCACCCCTGATAGAGGGCAAGGATGCCAAGGATGCCGAAGACGGGCGTGTCGGAGAGGTGCAGACGAAACACATCCCCTCCGTTCAGAAGGTTGGCTATAGTCTAGGCTTCTTAGAATAAATGCCCTGTCAGAAATGGACCCAGGCAAGCTTTCAGTTTCAGAGGAGGCTCATCACTTTCCGGGCCGGCTGTATGAAGGGTTATATGAATACCGAGAACAAGTAGTACTAGGATGAGATGAGAGGAGTGCTACGCAGATTTGAGTGGTCAAGGCTTAGAGAATTCGGATGTATGAGAAGGCATAGAAGAGAAGTGTCAGATCCACGTTCCTTTCTTTTGGGAGGGGGGAAAAGGGGAAACCCAGGCTGCGGCTGCGAAGGTGAACTCCGGAAGCGGAGCCGCCGGGAGCGGAAGCTCTTCGCTGCTGACCAAGGCCTTGGAGGCGGAGCAAAAGGGCTAAGAAAGAAAAGGAAAGGAACAAACTTTATATTCATGTTTCTCTCTTCTTTCAAAAAACAGTCAACTGTGCTCCTTTTGTTGAAGGTGTGTTTCTTGTGAATCTTCTTTTTTTGGTTTTCCTTTCCGTCTCAGGTGGCTCGCGCGGCTCGCTGCCTTCCTGCTCCCTCCTCTTTTGCAAGAGACGAGTCCAATCGTGAGGTGAAGTGAGGCTGTCGCTCTGAGGCTCCTCCTGGTGGCTGGCTGGGGCCGTTTGGCTTCTTCCGCTTGGTGACCTACGTGTTCCTAGCAGGCCTTTTCGGGGCCTCTAAAAGTTTTAGGCTTCAGGCTGTGAACCTCCTTTCTTCGAGAGGTGCGGTTTTTGCGGTGCTGCTGACGGTCACAGCTTCGGTGGGCCTCGGGATCCCTCTGGTGAGGGGCCTCAAGACGTTTTGCACGAAGATGTGCACAGTGCTACTCACGTCCTTCTTCGTTTCCGAGGTGGGTGGGGGCCCGGATGGCTTCGCGGCCTGGTCCTGAGAGCCTAAGCAATCAACGGCAAAGAATGCCTTCAATTCAATTTTCTCTTTCGCATTCTCAGGCTTTTGCCTCGTTGCTGCAACGGGCTCAGCTCATCTCCTCATGCACATGCATGGTCCATGGAGGGTAAGACGAAGGGGAAGGGGGGAGGGGAGTTGGCGAGAAGGCTATTTCTCAAACAGGGATTCCACATTATCAATGCGCTAGTCCTGGTGAGGTTTGCACCCTTGCTTTGGCTTGGGCACAGCATGTATGAAACCTAACTTCCCTTATTGGCGCTTCCAAGCTGGAAAGCTGGAACGGGAGAGGGGCCCCGCCTTGGTCAAGGCCACTGAGACAGCTCTCCACAGGACGTGTGAACGTGTGACTGTACACTACGTCACTAGACCTCGCCTACAGCAAGGGAGTGAGCATGTCATAGCCGTCAGTTGTCAGTCACGAGCCTGTCAGAGAAAGTTGTGAAGCCTTGCTTGGGGCCCTACGAAGTCTTACCAGCTCTGAGATAGGTGCCGGTTAGAACGGTGCATTTGTGCTGAGGTTATGTTTTGCTTGCTTGGTTTGTGCTGGCGCCGCTTATGCCCATGAGGCAGAGCCGAGGGAGTAGAGCAAAAAGCGGAGCTCTTCTTGGCTTCTTCGCTTCTGTTTCATGGGCTTTCTTGCTTTGCAGTTCTGAGCTCTGCTTCTTCTTCACCTGCTTTTGGAGGGGGAAGGGAGGAGGGGGGGGAAAGATGCTAGTTGCGCTACTCGCCGCTACTTGGTCGCTTTGCTTCGCTTGCTTCTTTTTCGGAGGGCCTGGAGCAGGAGGTGACGGCCATGCAGAAGCAAAACCAGCTCTTCCAGGCGAGCCCGACCCCCACCCAACCCACATCTCTTCCTCCTCTTTCTCTTCCTTTCTCTTTCCCTCATTATCCCTTCTTTCCCTTTGTAGGATAAGAACCAGCTGCTTGCAGCGCAGCTGGACGAGCCCAGGGCCCAGCCAAAGCAACTGTGAAGAACCGACTGAGCTCTGCTCTCAACTCGGGAGCTGCTCTTCTGCACTCTGCTTCTGCACAGGTTGAGTGGTGTTCGCCAGAAGCTGGAGGACGTGCGCCAACGCCTTGGTGAGGACCTGGAACACTTCGAGGTGAAACAGAGCGAGCCGCACGAAGCAAAAGAGACCAAGAGAGACCAAGAGAAAGAAGCTGAATCGTGCTGAGCCGCAGCCGCTGCAGGCGACGTTGGTGGAGTTGCACGCGGTGAGCAGCGTGGAGGTTCTGCAGCTAATGCTGGAGGCCTTCCTGAACGCTGACGACAGCCGGGACCAGGGGACCAGAGGGGACCGGGACGGAATGAGAGAAGGGCTTTAGGAACTTTAGGGAGCGGTAAGGGTGAGTTGGCGAGTTGAGTGCCGTGTGAGTTGCGAGAGGACGGGCGGCTGGCAGATGAGGAGCTGGATCGCTTCTTCGAGGTCTGCAAGGCGCCCCTGCAGCAGGCCTGACGCTTTCTGAAACCTCGAACAGCTGGGGGAGGGCATGGGCTGTTTTGGTAAGAAGTTCAAGGTCGAAGGCTAATCCAGCAAGGATCAACAGCCGTGTGGCGGTCACGCAAACACCCGAAGTCAGGCCAGCTAAGCAAAATTGGCAGGTCGCAGGAAACTGCAAGCGCCGTTTAGTTGTGCAGTGGTGGCCAAGACCAAAAACTTGCAGCGTGGAGCCCATGACTAAGTCGCGAAAGCGTGCTCCTGCATCAGCTCAATGCCGAGGCTCATGCAGCCTTGCAACTCAGAATGCCAATTGAGAGACGCACGCTTCAGGGACAGGACGCCCAAATCCCTCCGGAAAGAAATGCTGGGGGAGCAGAGCAGCACCCCTGCCACGTAGAAAAATGTTGTTTGATAAGATTGAAAAAAGGCTTTGACCCATTGGCACGAATAGACCGGCGTTTCAAACAGTACATGAATTTGTAGATGGATGTTGCTGCCATGCTGTATATCTACGTCATTGATAACGAAGTGAAGAATGTACAGTATGAACTGGGAGATTTCTTTGAACTAAGCTTTTTTAACCACTATGCCACGTAG